CACAAATAATAACCAAATGAAAAAAATTAGAAAGAGAAAAGATAAATCCTTTTACTCTGTCAATATACCCATCAATTTCGATAAACAATAGAAGAATATAAGCTACTAAGAGAAAATTTTATCGGATTAGCAATAAATAAATACAATCGAAATTGATGCATAACCTCTCAAAACTACATCATGTAACTACCGAAATGGAAAATATTAACTTTTGTTGCTACTGAAATGTAACTACATCATTTTAACTTTTGTTGTTATCACTATCTGAGCTAACAAATCTGTCAAACATCTGGACCAATTTTCAATCTAGAAATAGAAAATGAACTTCAATTATATATATAAACCATAAGCATCTGAACAATTACAACAAAAGTCTTAGAAGGCGCATTTTCAAAAGGTTTATTTATAGATTGACTGTGGGACTATGTCAATCTGGAGGTTTGCTAGCTCAGATAGGCGTCTTTTTTTTGTTAAGACTATAAGAAAAATCCGAAAGGAAGAAATTTGCATAGCTAATAGGAATTAGGAAATTAACAATAAAATATTGAGGAAAGCATCAAACATCAACATAAGAAGATATTACATGCAATTACAAAACTTTTTGGTGGGTTTTCCGTTTTTTTTTTAAGGATGGAATTTATAGGAAAAATCCGAAAGGAAGAAATTTGCATAGCTAATAGGAATTAGGAAATTAACAATAAAATATTGAGGAAAGCATCAAACATCAACATAAGAAGATATTACATGCAATATACAAAACTTTTAAATCTAAAATCCTGGCTAAGGACACCTAAAGTGGTCACACTGAGAACAGGCGCTTAACTGCAGCTTTTGCAGGCTGTTTAAACCAACATATGAGCACATAGAAGGCATACATGACAATGCACTAAGAAAATTAAAAGCTGAGGAAAATCTTTACAGCATCTCTCATTTTCCTAATTTACTATACAAACTTTTAAGTTAACATAGCTTTGATCTCATTAGTTATATATAATGAATTCTGTAAAAGCAAGGGCATCAAATAAAAAGTCTTCTGCTTCAGCATGTATTAGATTTAGTACTTTATTTGCTACATGTACATGAACTGAAGATAAATAAATTCCTACTTACAGAAATTTTAAGCTGTGCACCAGAACCAAAGCTCAAATCTCCAGCTGGGATGGGCAAAACTTTTGAATCAACAATTGGATTTGAAACAGGATCTGTTGGCATATCATTTTCCGATTCACGTAAAATAGCATTAAACATCGCAACATCTAATCTGGAGACGCATTGCTCCATCACCTAATCGAAATAAAGAAAATCATATTTATTCTTTCAAAGAAAAGTAACCAATCAATAATGTTATTCAACATAGATAGGAGGGAGGGAGGAGGGAGGGAGGGACCAGAATATTGTGTAATTTATGTTGCTAAATACCAGATTATCATATGTCGTAGAAATGGCTAGGAGCTACTAAAAAATTTCATGCTAGTTTTTCTCACATGAATGCCTGTGACTTTAACTTGAAACTGCATCTTTTAAAGAATGGTACTAAAAAGATATTTCAACTTCATACCTTTCATGCTAGCACAGGCAAGCAGCCACATTCATGGCCCCCTGACCGGACTGGACAAAGTCTGGTAAAGGCATCATGAAAAGCACTGTTCCAAAGGTTGATTGAAAAACTTCCTTGCTCTTTATCACCTAGAGCTGGTCCTAACATCTTTTCATGGCCTCTCGTCGGATACACATTCTCCATTGGAGATTGCATGTGTGGAGTCAAGGTCTGGAAAGACAATCATTAACAGTTTATGTATAACTATAGTACCTTTTTAAAGCCTAGTTAGCCAAATATTACAGATGATTTTAAGCAATAAAATAACATGACAAAATTCTGAGCTGTATGAAATAAACAACATTTACATCATCATTTATTCCTCCATAACAATCATTTAAAGATCAAATTTGATCTCCTTCTTATAGACTCCAAATTGGAACAACTCAACTTCTTTTTAGGTGATGATGAACCCATTCCTTGGGCACTTTTGCTTTAGCAGAGTTATTCAAATGTCCAGGTAGCTGAGCAATGGAGAAAAGATTTGAAGTGAAATAATTAAACATTTGAAGGTCAATAGTTTAAAAGGCACATGCGCGAAAATATGCAGCAAACATATCTAGGAAGTAAATAGGGTAAGTTACAGAATACCATAAAAGTCATTCATCAGGTTCTAAAATTGACATTTTATCCTCTCCTCCTCCATTTTTAATCAAACAATTATCAATCTTTTTGATATAATCATCAATTTTAGATATAACAATCATGTATTTCTATAGGCATAGAAGTAATTGTCATATTTTAATACTTTATTGTCTTTCCATCCAAATTAACTCCAAAAAGTTTAAACAGAGGTACAAACTGTTATGTTTAAAAACCTCTGGTGTATTTCTGCAAATCATGTAAACCTCTTGGGTTTTCTGTAGTTTACCTTCTCCAAACTAAGGTTCTAACTGAATCTTCAACATACCTGCACTTGAAACTTCTCCAGAAATGGTGAAGCTAAGAGGAAAAGTGCTGCCCAGGAGAATGTATGGGATTTATTGATGAAGATCAATGCCAAGTGTTTGAGATCAAGAAATGTCAGCAGAGCTTCTGGTACATGTTCATCCTAATATCAAGAAATGTTAGGAGAGTGTGGAATTATGACTCCATCGCCCCAAAGATGCTCTCCCACTCCGACCCCCGCTCGCTCGTCCTCCTCCTCGTCGACGCGCCTAATTTAATTTCCATGGCTCCTTCCCCAAATCGCTCGCTCGCCTTCTCTCCACCTCCATCAACGGTTTAGATTTAGACATATACCGGCCACTTGTCGGAAATTTCACAATTTCAAGTTCGAGTTGCTATTCTCTCACATGGAAATGAATCAGCTTTATGGTAACAGTATAAAAATTTCCCTTTGATACCATTATCTACACGGAGATAGCTATTTGCAGTGAATAATAACCAACAAATCATAAAACAATTCATTGTCTTTCTCTAAAAAGAACTTTTTTAAGCCATCAAACATTACTTATTCTAATACTGACTGATAATTGATTTGCTGAATAATTCACTTTTTGACTTAAAAATCCAAATTATTTAACCAAAACCATTCACCCAAAACCCTAGAAGATCAATCACAAAACAACTCAATCAATTTCAGCAGCTGCCACGAATAATTTCAGATCCGATACCGCAACAAAACTAAACCCCAACAAAAAAAGCACAAAATAAACAGCGAAAAGAAAAAAAATTAAAGCACCTTTTTGCAAGTGAATGGAGAAGCGAGGAAGTAGATGCAATCTGTGTTTTTCTTCAGCGCCTCCTCCTCCGCCGTCGACGGGTGATTCACCTCCATCATCTATCGATCGGTGGATCTCAAATTAGGGCAAAAATAGAGGAGGAGGAAGAACTCGAGAGGGCTGAATAAGGAAATTGAGGTTTTTGAGGGGTTCTATTTGATGATTTGTAGCTGGGCTTCGATCGGTTTGAGAAACGTGACCAATTTGAGAAACGTTTGTGGAAGACGAAAGAAGAGTGGAAGCAGAGCAACTGCAGGGGAAGTTGAGAAACGTGGTCTATTTGAGTGCAACGTGGCAAATTTGAAAAAATTAAGATGAAATACGTGGATATTGAGGAGTTTTACTGTTCATCCTTGGGTTTTCCTTTAGTTATAGGGCCTGTTCGTTTGCCTTAAAAAAATGGGAAATCAAAGAAATGGAAAATGAAGAATTGTTTTGGAGTGTTCGGTTGGCTAAAAAAAAAAAGAAATCAAAGAAATGGAGATGAGATGAGATGAGTTGTCACATTATTATTGGATGATGTGAGTGATTTTTTAAGAAAACTAGTTTTGATGTTGTTCGGTTGGCGAAAAAAAATAAGGAAATGAATTATAAGAAACCTATTTCCTGTAGTTTTCTTGTTTTCTTTTGTTCGGTTCATTCTTAAAAATAAGAAATGAAATGAGATGAGATGAGTTGTCATTGTATTATTGGTTGATGTGAAGAAAGATTAAGAAATGTGTTTTCACAACTTTTTGGGATGAAATGGAAGAAATGAAATGTTAATGAGATGAGGTGAATTGTTATAATATTTTATTCGATGATGTGAGTGATTTGAAATAATAAAAAGAGATGAGTTGAGTGATGTTTGGATGAAAATAATATTTTATTAGATGTGATGGATGAGTTGTTAGATGAAAATAATATTTTATTAGATGTGGTGGATGAGTGGTTAGATGAAAATAATATTTTATTAGATGATGTGGATGAGTTGTTGGATGAAAATAATATTTTATTGGATGTTGTGGGTGAGTTTTAGGGATGGAAATGGAAGAAATGGATTATTTTGAGATTTCCACCATTTCCATTTCCATTTCTTGCTTTTTTGAAAACAAACGAACAGGCCCATAAAGGAAAGTAGATATCCTGAAGTTTTCAAACCGACATTAACCTGTCAATTGACATTAATTTGATAATTTGGTACCGCAAAGCCTTAACTTTGCTCCTCACACCAAACTCAAAAAAAAAACTGAAAATTGATACCAAATTGTCTCTCGTTCACTTTTCCATGTTGACGTTTTTGAACAAAATTGACACCATTTTTTCCACTCCGGGGTATCGAAATGTCGTTACAAAACTTCATGGTACAAAATTTGAAAAAAGCGGGTTGTTAATGCAAATAACCTCAGGAGTTATTTCGGGTTGGGTCCAGATAAAATAAGACCCAAGGCAACCCGGCCCGCTTGATACTCCTTCTAGAACCTAGGTTCTCTTCTTTTTGAAATTTTCAGACGTTACAGCCCGAATCAAACCCATTTTCAAACAAACAAAAACTAGCCGTTATTAAAAAGCCTCTCTTTTCAAAATTTAAACCCCTCATTTGATTTGAAGAACAGAATACCCCTCGCCTTATTTCATCTCTCACTTATATTTACCAACTTTCATCAACTAAATAAACCAGTACTTTTAAAGACCCCAGAAATCCCAGGAAAAAAGAAGAAGAAGAAAATGGCTCTGAGATCTCTTGACAATGCTCTTCCAGCCAAGCTCGAGAGGCCCAAAAAGACCATGAAGGTCGCAACACTTCATTCTGAGCTTCCTCTTGATTCCTCTCTCAACAACGAGAACACACCACCGCAGCCGAAAGCATCGGACCCTTCAGCCGAATACATAGCTTCAGAGGATCTCCAGGCTCTATCCGACCCCGGGGCCAAGATCAAGGTGAGGATTTTCAGTTTGATTTCAGTTTTATTGGTTTTTGATGCTGTGATGTTCTTGGTCTCTTGATTTTTTTTTTCCTCGGGGTTCTTTGGGGTTGAAATTGAGTAGGTTTTGTGGGAGGAATTGGAATCAAAGGATTGGACCAAAGTGTGTGAAGCTCTCAATGATGTGCGAAGGCTCGCCCTTCATCATTCCGCCCTTCTACTCCCAATCTTGTAAGATTTTTTGCTTCTCACGAAAGATGAATAGCTGGTGATTTTTGAGGATTAGGCAAATTATACCTTTAGATGATGTAACTTTAAACCTGTTGATAAATAGGGAAAATGTGATGTTGATCATGGTAAAATCACTGAAGAATCCAAGGAGTGCTTTGTGCAAAACGGCGATAATGACTTCTACCGACATCTTCCATTCATTTGGCCACATCCTGCTCTCTGCCTCAGACGAGACCAAAGCCTTCGATAATCTGGTGAGAAGGAAAAAAAAACATATAAGTCATTTTTGCAGACATTAGGCCCAAAAAATTCTGAATTCTAAAAATAATTTCATCAACAGCTGCTTCAACTTCTACTTAAAGCATCACAAGACAAGCGATTCGTGTGTGAAGAAGCTCAGAAAGCACTAGATACAATGGCTCAGTTCACAACTCCACTTCCATTGCTGAAAAAGCTTCAATCTTGTGTTAACCATGTTAACCTCAGGGTGAGAGCCAAAGCAGCTGTTTCCATCTCAAAATGTGTCTCCAATATGGTAATATAACTTCTTCCTGCAAGCAGTAAGATAATATCGATTAGTTTCGGGGTTGATTTCGCAAACCCCCCTTTTTTGGGTGTGGTTTTTTTTGTGGGAGGGATTTTGTGAAATTAACCCTTAGCTTTACCTAAGAAATCGACAATTAATTAATCATCTACTTATTTTCAGGAACTTGAAATTATAAAGGAGTTCGGGCTAGGGACTCTTCTACAGATTGCAGCTGAGCTGTTGAATGATCGATTACCCGACGCACGTGAAGCAGCTAGGAGCATTATCAACGTAATTCACAGTGGATTTCCCAAAAAGGATGATACAAAGGAAAACGATGATGAAGAGGAGACTTCAGAGACATGGCAGAGTTTTTGCTCATCAAACTTGCCCCCAATCTCAGCACAATCAGTTGCGAAGCTTGTTTCGCAGTAGTTGGCTTCCTTTGTTTTGGATGTTTATTGGAAACTTTTTAGTGGTTTTCTAATGCTACTGCAAGTAGCAAGTGGGGGGTGTTACATACGTTTGTTCGTTTTGGTCATCTGTTAAAAACTGCTAGAGGGTTTTTCATGCTAATGCAAGTAGCAAGTCTTTTATAAATATATCTTATGTTTGTTGGGTTGATCTCTTGTGAGGTTCTCTGGTCGTTGACGCAGCAGCAAAATAGGTAAAAAGGTTTAAAAAAAATTGGTACATATGCATTAGAATTTGCAGTCTTCTATCATTAGAAAGAAAACTATTACATACGAAAAGGAATTGACAGAATTGAAAACGATCTAATTTCTATACTTCAACAGGTCAAAGGAATCATCACCTTAACCATTAATTGAGCTGCATCTTGGTTGCAAAGAAAACTTCGATTTTGTTTCCAGATCAGTTCCCAAGTATCTGCAACTTGTATGGTTTTTCAATATTGAGAAGTCACAAGAGACTCCTTTCCAGATCTTGGTTTTTCAAAACACACAAATTCATACATAGAATTCAGTGTCCCATGATGTAATTACCAAATGCCTGTGTTCATATTTGAGTTCACAAAACATGAGAAAGTATCAAGTGCTCCTGATCAAATGCATTAATGATCCACCAAAAATTATCTAACGCTGACACATTAGTCCTGCTTCTTTATTTGAAACTTATTTGAAGCTTTAGCAAGCTTGATATACTTTATGGAGGCCATAACCAACAGAACTACTCCCTCTTACACTCCAAAAAACCTGTGTGTGGCCCGCTATATCTAAGCACACATTCTTTGCAGAAAGACACCAACATTCTCTTTAAGATTTGGATCATATTTACTTGTATGTCGATTTTGAATCACAATTGCCAATGTCTATTTACACTTCACAAAATTCATCACCCACAGGTAACGACCATAGGAGTACCCCTTTATGATAACTATTTCCCGAGCAAGACTATCAAATATATTTCGGTCATGAAACAAACCAGCAGGAGTTCCTGCCTCTTTTTGAAAGTTTTTTGGAACTTTAACAATCTTGCTATATCTCGTGGTGGCTAGCTTCCTGATGATATATCTAATCCCACCTCTTTCTTTCTGTTTCTGCAGAAGGTCACCAAGCCTTCTATTTAAAAATTAGGATCATATTTACTTGCAACTTATAAACCCTGTATAGGTTTCTGTGTCTACTTGAATTCCTGTTGTACCTCCTACTCTATTCTCAGTTTTTTTTCAAAGCACAACTTACAGGAAACAGAGAAATTTCAGAAGTCCGGCAAAATTCTCTTTTTTCCCCAGAAGCTTTAAAACTAGCTCGAACATCAACAGAGTTGCCATGATTTTTGTTGCAGCTGCATATTCCTTTTCGAAGTTCAGTTCGCGTGTTGGTATTGACACCTTTGAAGCACGAGCCCTCTTACCCTATAGATCCAAGTCATGCAAATGATCCTCCTCTCCGATGATTGAAATTAACTTATGCAACACTTCATAAATAGCCTCACTTTGACTATGTGCCTTATCTTCAACAACAAAACTATGAGTCTCCATTCCAACTTCGATCCAGCTCAACCCCGTATCCTTCTTCACCCCCATTTCCTTCATCTTCATTGCAATCCTCGCCCTCTCTTCCCACTTTCCCTCTGATGAATATATATTCGCTAAAAGCACATGAGCCGATGAACTATCCCTTTCCTCAAGCAACAATCTCTCTGCCGCATACTTTCCAATATCCAAAGCACCATAAATCCCACATGCCCCAAGTAATGCCTGCCAAAGGAGAGCCTTTGGGTTTATCATTAAACCCTCGATAAAATTTTGTGCTTCTTTCAGAAGACCAGCTCGCCCTAGCATATCGACCACACAGGAATAATGCTCTATTCTTGGCTCAATATGATGAACCTTTAACATCAAATCCAAAAACTCCATGCCCTTGTTGACCGAACCCACATGGCTACATGCGTGGAGTAACGAAATGTATGTGACATCAGTAGGCTCGATACCTTCCAATTTCATATTCTCGTATAGTTGAAGGGCCGTTGATCCATAGCCATGGCGAGCAAATGCTGCAATCATAGAGTTCCATGACACTGCATTCCTCTGTACCATAGAATCAAATATTTTGATAGAATCCCTCAATTCTCCGCATTTAGAGTACATGTTGATGAGCCCATTGCACACAAAGACATTATTCCCTAACCCTTTCTTGATTACTGACGAGTGGATTTGCTTCCCGAGTGCAAAAGGAGCGTAAACATCAAATGCTCCAAGAACTGCCGATACCATATTTGCATCAATTTCTATACTTTTTCCTACCATCTCAACGAATAATTTCAAAGCATTTTCCTCAAATCCATTTTGTGCGAGACCAACGAGCATCACCGTTAGGGCTACCTCATCGAGTTGCTCGCAAGAACGAAACATCATACAAGCATCTTCCATCACACCACACTTTGAGTACAAGTCCATCAAAGCACTCTTGACACACAAATCCAACTCGAATCCAGACTTCAAAACAAGCCCATGAATTTGTTTCCCTTCTCGAAGAGCTCGGAGGCCCGAACAAGCCAAAAGAGAACTCGAATAAGTCAATGAGTTGGCCTCTTGGTCCTCCCTCCTCATTTCTCTAAACAAAATCAGACCCTCCTCAAAAAACTCACAGTGTGCCAAGCCAGATACCATAGCAGTCCAGGTGACCACATTTCTCTCACGCATTTCACCAAACACCTTATATGCACAGCTCGCACACCCGCATTTAAAGTACGAACTCACCAGCGCGTTGCCAACAGGAACAATCTGCTCAAACCCACTTGAAACTATCAAGCAATGCATCATTTCACAAGCATATCGCATCTCGGGCTTCGCGCAAACTGACAGAACAGTGGTCAGAGTTGCAGGATCAAGCTCGAAACCGGACCTGCGCATTCGCTGGAGATACCCAAAACCTGCACCGGGCTCGTTATTAATGAGATGACCCATGATGATGGAGTTCCAAGTGATGGTGTCTGTTGATGCTCTCTGGTTGAAAACAACAGTCGCTTCGGGTAGTTTGTTGCATTTGGAGTACATTGAGATGAGAGAGTTGGATAGAAGAGTGAGGTTTTGGGGGTCGAGGAGAGGTGAGAGCTTGAAGATGGAGGCATGGATGGACGAGCCGAGAGTGAGGTATTTCTGTTGGCCGCAGAGGGAGAGGAGAGCGCTGATTTTGACGGGGTCGAAGGAGAGCGTTACATTTCTCATTTTCTGATTCTGAAGTTTGAAAGAGGACTTCTTTTAAACCCCACTAGTGTGAACACCCTTTTTTTATTTTTTTTTTCGCTACAGTAAGCCCGAGTTTAATTGTTCCACTCTTTTTTGAATTTTTGGATTGTTACAGTATTCTTGTGTGCTACAGTGTTTTTTAAAAAACAATATTCAGCTTCATATTTGCCACAGTATTAATAATACAGTTAATGCCACTGTAGCATTACTGTGACATGAATAGTAAATCTTAAGGTTCTCCCATTTGTATGGAAGAGCAGATAACATAGATTGATTATAATTTATTATTGGTATCAAAATGATAATAAAGACTAGGGGGTTGGTGGTGGGTGAGTTATTGAATATAAGATGTTGAACTTTGTGAAATTAAAAGGGTATAATTGTTTTTTATTCGGTCAAACCTCGAGAAAATATCCAGTGCCTCAAAGTCGCCAATCACTCACGCCTCAACCGATCAATACCGTAAAAAGTACGCCCCGCCGTTAGAGATTATTTACAGCCCCTATCAAGTTATGAAGGTGGCGAGGTCACCTTTAGAGATCATGGTGAAGGTATAATATTGGTATTAGAACTATTGATAAATTTCCCTCACATGTGCTTAAAAATGTTCTAGTAGTTGATGAAGTTAAGGCTAACTTGATTAGCATAAATCAACTTTGTGATAGTATTCTTTCTGTCCAAAAAATACTTTATTTATGATACTAATGGAATTTTGAAGTTTGAAGCCTACAGAAATCCAAATGTTTATACCTTCGATTTTAAAGATCTAACAAAACCAAAAGTGAAGTGTTTGAAGGCCATAGATGAAGACTCATAGCTATGGCACAAAAGGCATTGGCATGCAAACTTTGATCTTATTTGTAAAAGTATCCAGAAAAGGTCTAGTGAGAATCATTTCTATGCTTAAAGCTCCACAAATCAACTCGTGTGAAGAATGCCAAGAAAATGAACGGGTTAAAAGTTCTTTCCATGCCAAAAACTGGAAACATCTTCTAAACTCCTTGAGCTTATTCATATAGATATCTCTTACTGGTACTACTAGTAGCATGAATGATAAATCATATGCCTTTGTTTTAATTTGACTATTCCATATTTACTTAGTTTTATTTCTTGCTCATAAACATAAAGAATTTTAGGTATTTTCTCACTTCTGCAAGTGAGTTGAAAGAGAATGTGGAAATTAAATCACAAGCATCAGAAGTGATCATTTTGGGGAATTTGAAAATAAGAAGTTCAATAATTTTTGTCTTGATCAAGGCATCAAACACATTTTTGCTACACTTAGGACACCACAACAAAATGATGTCGTCGAGAAAAAGAATGGGACACTTTAGGAAATGACCAGGACAATACTCAATTCTTCATCTTTACCTAAATACTTTTGTGCTGAAGGTGTCAATACTGCTTGTCACATCTTGAATAAAGACTTATGAGATCTTTTGCTAAAGAAGACTCCTTATAAACTCTATTATGATAAACCCCCCAACATGAACTACTTTAAGGTGCTTGGATGTAAATGTTTCATCTTAAACACCAAAGGTAACTTGATGTAAATGTTTCATTTTAAACACCAAAGTTAATTTGGGTAACTTTGATCAAAAGTCTTCTGAAGGTATATTTGTTGGCTACTCATTTTCCAGCAAAGCTTACAGAAGTTTTAATAAAATTACTCTTAGTATAGAAGAATCTACTGATGTGAATTTCATTGAGACTAACAATTCCCTTTCAAGTATTATTGCTGATGACGCAGATGGAAATATCATTAAAAACAAAGGAACTTCCTTCAGAAAAAAAAAAAACAATGAAACTAATAGATGCAGAAAACTTTTAAGGAAGAGTCACATGTTATAACTCAATGCATGGATCAATAGAAATAGCCGCACATCATTCACAACCTTCCCAAGGACTAAAAGGAAATTAAAGATCATTCAAAAACAGCAAGTGATAGGTGATATCTCTTCTAGTATTTTGACAAGATCTTAAGCATACAATCATCATGCATTGATAATCATATTTTTAATACAATTTTATACCATCGTTATCTATTTTATATGAATAAATATACTACTAATGATTGTTTTTATCTTAATTTACAAGTTAATGAAGAAATAATGAATAAAAGCCCAAAAGACTCTAACTTCCTCATTTTGTAACCTTTTATTGAAGCACGGGATCAAGCGAAGTAGCCTATAGAAGCTGGAGAAAATAAAAATCCAATATAAAAATAAATATTCAAGATGATTGGCCGTAAAGAAACAACTATATCTCTCAATCTGAAAGGCAGAATTTAACATATAATATATGAAAATCGCCTATCTCGATGAGATGAAGCAATCTGTCAAGTCAGATTTTTGATATGTGACTCCCATGGTTTCACACAAGGTTGCAGTCCAAGGTGAACTCAAAGATGTCAAATCTGTCATGCACTCAACACTGTGCAACAACATGTTTTACCATCACAGTAATATCTCTCTAGTAGAATCAAATACAAAAAGTAAGGGTACAAACATATATAGTAAAGATGATAATACAAGGAACACAATATAGAGAAGATATCCAATAACATTTATAATTATGTTCCAACAAAAGAAAAGAAAATAAACCTGGTGAACTAGAATAAAACAATGAATCTCTAATTCAAAAGAGTCAACTGAAAAGTATATATGCACTCAGCCTCCAAAAGAAATACAACCTTAAAAGACTAAAAATAATAAAATATCCACTGTGGAGCGCCTACTAACTATCTACTAATAAATGACGGCAAAATATGCTGAGTCTCCATCAACCTGCGACTCTCCGAACCCCTGACTTGCTTCCTGAAAAAAGATAGAAACAACGAGTGTCAAAACGCTAGCGAGAACATCTCCACCGCCCCCAGGGGGAAGGGGTTAGGTGTTTAAAAAAAATACAAGTTATAGCATATATAGATATATAAATCCTACATCATGGAATAAGATGAATTAATATTTAGAAACCCACAACACGAGAATAACTACGTCGAGCGAAATAATCCAAACAAGGAAACCCTTGTAGGTTGTCTAAAAATTACTGCAAATGGTTAATTCTCCCCAAGCACTGATAATGAAAATTATAATTTGACGACTTCTAGAATGCCATAATTTGGAGACTTTCACGACAATCAACGAAGATTACAATTCAACGACATTCACAATAACCAATGGAAGTTCTGATTCAATGACCTTCACAATCATCAACAGGAGTTACAACTGATGACTCTCACATTCCAAGGAGCCGAGATGAAGATCACAATCTTTACAACGCTCTAACTAGAGAGAATAGAAATCAACGGTCTCTTAAACCTAAAACACAAAGCTCATCTCTGCGTTTCAGACTCAAAACACAGAGCTCATCATTTCAGACTCAAAACGCAGAGCTTATCGTTCCAGACTCAAAACACATGGCTCACCACTGCGTTTTTCAACCTCAAGTGCAGAACCCAACTCTGCAGAACGTAGAGTTCGTGCGCAGAATGCAAATTTTACATTTGACTCGTTCAAACACGAGCTGAACGGTTCCAAAATTATTTCTCATAATTTGAGGGGATCACAACCCCACTAAGGAGCAATTTTAGGGTTAGGTACACCCTCTAAAACCCTTATAAATAGCTGGAAACTCAACTAAGTTCGGATCTTTGGATCTTTGAGCATTTTTGAATTTAGAGATCGTCAACAGAAAGCTTAGAGCATCTTCAGGAGCTATTCTTGGAGCATTTTCTTTATTCTTGGCTATAAACCAATTTCGGTTAGATCAAATCAACTCTATTATAGATTTTTAAACTCACTCTGAGTTATTAACTCAATAAGAGTTGCAAACTTGCCACGTAAGTTCTCCTCAATATCAATTCGAGAGGAATCAACCAAGTTCCACAAGACGAAGCATTCGGATCGTCAACAGGATACAAGATTCAAGCTCTCATCGACACCAAGAAGAACCCAGTTTTAAACAAAGGGGAGGATCTCCGTTGATCCCTTCCTTCTTTTGTAAACCGAGATACCGACCGAGAAGATTGTAATTTATTTTTCTAAGCTAGTTAGAGAGAGATTCCATTGAGAGATTATATTCATTCTTTTCCTAAGTTAGTTAGGGAGATAAATACAAATTTTATTCTTATTTCTTCTTTAATTTTTCCACAAACAACCCTTATATATATATACCATGTATCTTAAATTGTGGATCGCTAAATATCAACTCCAAAATCCTATGAATACAATAATCAACAAGAAAATACATTACCAAACCTCATTCAAACCATGTCGTATTATAATGTCTCACACTACCCTTGGGTAAGTGGCGCAGGAATAAGTATAAGGATCCGATGTAAAAACCTCGACCAAGATATGTCATACATGATAAAACTTTGTCTTAAATACTAACCACGGGATAAGTATCACGGAAGCAAAAACACAATCATATATGATCCTCTACAAAGAAAATGGTGTGGAGTATAGGTTCTCACAATATCCTATGGCTCATCGCAATATTTTGTGACTCACTACCTTACTCAAACACCCTATAGAGTATAGACATATCAACCTAATTCGGAACACAATGATGCATAACAAAGTGTAGTCCACTGTGGTCTCATTGTATTACACCAACTAACGCACTCTGAGTGTAGTCAACCACGGTCTCGTTGTGGTACACCAACTAACCCCACTCAAGCATCCAAAATTACCGTAAAACGAAACATACGTCAGTCTCTATCATGACTAACTCAAATCATTAGACTATGTGTATCAATAGGCTCGTGCGTGCTCAAATCTATCACGTGTCCTCTCATGGTCTCGCACGTGTGTTGACGTGTAACTCACACTTTGTGCTCACGATCAAAAACACATGGTAAATCAACTTATGCAAAACAGCTCAAATCGGTCGACCGAAACACCTCATCGATCGACTGATGGCAACGTACACGAATATGCATAAAAAATTCAGCCTTGGTCGGTCGACCAAATGCA